CCATTCAGTCCTGCAGGACTATAGACTTGTGCTACTGGACTGGTGACGGACAGCGCTGCTGTTGACTGTGTGATTCGATGTGAGAGTGACCCTCTCTGTTGGTTTTCGCATTTCTAAGATGTGGCATCTCCTGCAGCAAGTGACTGCATTTGATGCCTGTGCCTCTTGACCTCTGTTCGATCAGACTGTGCTTAAGATGTACCAATTAATTTTGCACATCTTTTGTCCAGGAACGTCTAGCTGATGCAATTCCCTCTCATATTTTCTCTTTCTATGCCACCAAAGGTTTTCATATCCTGATTACAAATAGCTTTATTAAACATTTATGCCCTCTGGTTGGCCTCTTCCCTGTAGCTAAATTTCCATAAGGGAAATATTTGGGAACATCTCCAGCCTCCATTCGAGATACAGGACCCAGCCACTGAATGTCTACTTAAGGAAAAAATGCAGTGTGGTAATACCTGTTCTTTCAGGCACACATTAGTCTGTTATATGTTTCTTCCAAAATCAAAGTAGATAGAAAGTATTCAGTAAACAGAGTAGAACATTAAATGTCATGTGTTCACTGTGGCCTTAAAACAATATGCATCAGATGACACATGTACTCTATGACAGCTATCACCAAGGCTTCAGAGAAAATTAGTCAACATGAACTTTTTTTTTCAATTTTAATTTGGTTCACAAGAAGACTCTTTAAAATTATATTTAGCAAGTATGTTCATACCCTGATATCCTAAATGCTGTACAGGTGCAAACACAACCAACTAGCTTAACTGTTTGTCTCGTAAACATGTCACTGTACATAAGTCAGTGAAGTGACATTTACTGAGGACTGGACCCAACGGAAGTGTCAATTCTGTGGCTTTTGGGGACGACAGTGTTAACAGAACCAGGTATTTCAAATACAAATATTACATAAAAATAAGTTATAACATACAGCAGATATGTGTATTCAATTCAAACTTTCAGGAATCTTTATATTTTTTAAATTCTAGCCATTTTAATACAAAATCCTTTATCCTATAATTTTCCAGATATTCTTACTGATCTGGTGGGGAAAAAATGATTTGATTTTGTGTCTACAATTTTAAACACGATCTCAATGCTCTTATAAAATAACACATGTATTTGATTTTGTTGACCTTATGACGTGTTGTTTGTCAATAATAAACAAATGTTACATTAACATTACACATAAGATACACAGGCGGATCATAAGCTGTTTTTTCTATACTGTTTTAAAATGACAGAACTAGGCATAAATTCTGCACACATTCCACCGCTGCCAGCTCAAATGGATGGCAGATAATACAAAACTATTTTTTAATATTTACTGGGCTGGTTATAAATTATAATTTTTCTATGTTCAATCCAGGATGTTATTGCACTTGGCCTGTTTACAACGTGGCTACAATTTTCGGCGGCTTTTAGCTGCATATCCAACTTTTCAGGAATTTGGTGCGCAGGTTACAAACTGACTTATTCCTTTCTCCGGAGCACTGTCATCACTTGGATGCAGCAGCCTACGATCCAGGTTCTGAATTAGCTTTCACATTTTTATACTGTCTAATACGTCCTCAGACACTACGTTCCTGTGCTTCTATGAGTGCATCTCACCACCTTTAACTTGCACACCCTGAACAAGGATTCATAGAAAATCTTATAATTCCTCATCATCAACAGTTTCCAGATTTGTTGTTGAGCATCATGCCGGTGTGTTGGGAAATAAGCAGGCAGAAAGACTGGCTGGCTCTGCACCACTTGGTGGTGAATTGATGTATTACAGATACTGTGAGGGTTCTTTGGAAGTGCGTGAACAGTGCGGAGCCGTAGATAGATCATTACGGTCTAGGGAGAATGGCGCTGCAAAGAGTTACCAGGGGATCTGGCCGACGCTCAACACTCAGGGGAAGGATGAGACTGATATACAATCAGACGGTTACTGGTACCATCGGAATTGGAAATCTTCGCTTGCTGTTGAAGATGGGGACTAAGCATTCATGGGAGTGTCCAGAGTGCTGTGATGTTGATTGTTAATTCAACATTGTTAAGCATCATGGAGAGGATCCAGTTTTTCATGTATTGCTCAATGGCTAGCACTAGGTACTGTCATTCCATGTTGCCATAGAAGGTCACTAATGCCATCAATCCATTTTTTCTTGGGTGCCCTCTTGCTTTTACATCAGATCTTTCAGCTTTATTGTATGCATGGGTAGTTGTGCTGCATTGTAACAAGATGACCAAACCATACTATCTTCTGTTTCTTAATGAACTAGGTGCAAGATGTTGTTCCCAGTTTGTCTGATAGCATTCTTTTTCATTTGGTCTCAGACGGTTGAGTTTGCAGCTTTCCTTCGGCATCTCATCTCTTAGGTGTCTTGTCCTGCATTCTAATGATAAAATTGAACCATGTGATATTCTGTTTCTCAAAAGTTTGTGCAAAATGCTGTTCCAACAGTTTGTCTGATAGCACTATTTTTCACCTGATCTCGGATAGTTAAGTTAGCAGCTTTCCCTGGTGATCTCACCTCTTAGGTGTTAATTTTGTGTAACCTTATCAATTACTGTTAATTCATTTATATCACACACTTACAACAACTACAAGCAAATAAGAAAAACATCCCCAGACAGAAATATACCAAAACCAAAAAAGCGAACCAAATTACTTTGTCTATCACAGAACCCAAACAAAAAGAATCACAAAAATAGGACTAATTTACAAAATATGTAGTCACAAGCAATAGCACCGAAATAAAATACATAGTGTATCACAGAAAAAAAATATGATGAGATCGTAGCAAATAAAGAGATGACTAGGTCTAGGCATACATACACCCAGCATTCAATTTTTAATCTAAAACAAACAAATAAAAGGATTAAAGAACTTACAAAATATATTACCCTGCAATTATGTAATTTAAACATAAAAAAGTCAAGCGTCCTTGTTACACCAGCTGCGCTGCAGGCAATTGATGCTAAACTCATATTTTTTGCTAACCAATCGGCTCTGGTCAACATTACCCCAGTTGCCTTTACTTTCCAGGATATTACCTGGTACCCATTTTAGGCTGGGTGGGTCTGGAAGCAAATGTCAATTTTGAAAAACTAAATCTGACTCAGTACAATTCTAACTAAGACCACTGGGTCATAAGGTGAGTCTCTGGCCATTGGGTTACCATGGCTCCAGTAATTATCTTTGGAAGACAAAATCCAAGTTTTTGACACAAAAGTCAAATCTCTTAAGAACTTTATTTTTTTTTTCCCGCATTATGCTACCAGTATCAAATGCGTCTGTCAAAATATCAATATCTTTTCATAATCTCTGCTAATGCCCAACAATCACTGATCTTGCATCACTGATAACATAATTTCACGATACACCACGTGCATTCTTTCACCTTTGGCTTCAAGAATATATAATACATTAACTGATACCATATTTCTACCCTGAGGTTTTTAGTGCTGTTTCAAATGTATACTCCAAACATCCAGTTTGTATTGGTGCTCTTTGGTGAAGATTTGTATACAGATAACAGAGAATATGTGAAATAGGAATGGTGCAGTGCTAGGAATGGACTGTGAAGTGATAAATATGAATCAGCAGAAGCAATGGGATGCAAATAAAACAGGAAATGTTCTCATTAAAAGATTACAACAGTAGTGAGTGGCTAAACAAAAATCTATTGCAATTTGAAAATATAACTGTTAACAAATTAACACAAAATATGCTTTTGACTATTTTCTTGCCAAAATTCAATGTCACTAAGTTTAATATCCAGACCAAGCTTTATCATAGAATGGCTGTTCTCCCACCACAAAAAGCAGGAAATTTTGCAGCTCCAGCAATGGAGGAGGGGAGGGAGAGAGTGTGAGAGAGTAATCTCCCCCAAAATGTCTCAACAGGCAAATCACAGAACCAAGCCCCAAGCTTCCTCAATTCTTTTATTTCTTACTTCAGTGCCTGTTTGCTGATTCTCTGCTCCTTTCTTTCTAGGATGTGTCCAATACAGTAGCATCTTCTTTGTCTTATAATTGTTAGTTACTAGTAGTGCCCAGACATTTCTCTTATTTCTTCACCCCTTTTGAATTTATCCCATTTTATGTTCAAAATTTACCTCAGGCAATTGTTTTCAATTGCATTTAACTTCAGTGGTTCTTCAACCTTCCTTGGCATAGTGGTGGAGAAAGAGAGAGAGAGAGAGAGAGAGAGAGAGAGAAAAGAGAGAGAGAGAGAGAGAGAGAGAGAGAGAGAGAGAGAGAGAGAGAGAGAGAGAGAGAGAGATGTTCACACACACAAAAATGGCCACCACTTGAAAATTATTTCAGAACATTTGTAGCATCCCAGCATAATTATGGTTCTTTTACATAAATGCACAATAACGTAAACAATAAAAGAAGGAAGTTTAGTTAGGAAACTAACACAAGATGCCCAATTTATGACTTAGTAAACATACTATTAACCACATTTTCACTGAAATCAGCAATAACATTAAAAAAATGTACATTTTTTAATGTGGTAGTACAATCAGCACAACACTTAAGTATATAAACTATCAGATTCTTCTTCATATAAGAAAAGCTTGTTATAAATTACAAGACTGTGAAACCATCACTAACACTTTTAAAAAAAAAAGTATTATAAACAGTTAAAGAAAACAATTTAATTAACAAAACTAAATGATGTCTCCCAGCACTCAAAATAAAGATTGGAATGACAATTTAGCATTATTATAATAAATATATACTTGTACAACTAAAACAGCAGCAGCAAGCATATGATATGAGAAATTACTATGGCAATAAGTAATTGTTGAAGTAGGTGTGGTACACTACAAAAAATAAATATGAATAAATATGCCTATATGTTTATAAGTGCAAGGAAACGATACTTCACACAGAAGACAGGACACAATTTGTTGATAAATATTTAAAAACTAATCCAGTGACTGAAACTAAAAAATGCTCAGCTGTAGGTGATCAAGACCCCAGCCAGGAGAGCACTACATGACATGGCACTTGTCTTTGTCTTGCAGCTGTTAGATAAGACAAAAAATGCAAAAATTGTCTGTCATGATCTTTGATTTCTTAAACACATTTAAAGTAAAAGGACCCTCTTTCATGCCTTTAGGCGCAGAGGGCATATAGGGCTAGACCTATATTTCTATAGACCAATCGGCACAAGATGGATGATGTGGTCAGCAGCACTCCGGCCGCCTTTACTTCATGCCGGCTGCCTTTACTTCCCGGGACTGCACCGGTACCCACTCAAGGCTGGGTTGACCTGGGAGCCAATGCCTTTTTTTTTTAAAGTCCGGCTCTGCCAGGGAACAAACCCAGGACCTTCCGATCCGCGGCGAGCGTCTAGCTGCTCCGCCACAGCGACTCCCAAACACGTTTATCTTTACAAAATATCTACTTAATCTAATACAACAATGACTGGTTTTTACCACTTTGCAGGACAGACGGTCGAGCCTGAGAGTTTAGGGCCCTTATGGCTAGCGCAGTTGCCATTCACTGTGCAGGTGAGGATTTTATTTTTGCTCCTGACAGAAAAGATCCAAAACCTTACTGAGGATTCGAACTTAGGCCTCCAAAATGAGAGCCCAGGATTCCTTATCACTCAGGCAACTACTTTTTAGACTAAACAATCAGTTTTAACAAAAACAACTACCGGATGCCACAATATATTCATTATCATGTTGGCTACTAACAATTGGCATTTATGGTATACCATCTAAAACAACAATGCTGACATCACAGGTTTTCTTTTTTCTTCAAATAATAACAGACTTATCACTTGTAAACAAAAGGAATTATTGCAACCTACAGGTTAGTAAAATGGTTTCACAATGCAATCCTCGTCATTTACCAGAGTTCGATTCCCTTTGTGTGCAGTTTAGACAAAGGTTGTTCTCGTGACTTTCAGACAGTGGTACAAAAGGTCACGATGGAAGATACTGCATCCTCCCCCTGTAGTGTTCCCAAAGTTATCAGTGGAGCCTGCCTCCATCGGGGAGACAGTACATTTGTACATTTAATGATACCAGACTGACTTTTAATTGTAATTCATTCACTGTCTTGTTGAGTCATAGGGCTTGCAGTCTATTTTTCCATCCTGTGCAATCACTTCGATATAATGAATGGAATCCAGTCCGGCACCTTTGGCTTCTCTCATCAACATTCACCTTAGGGTTCTCTCTTGGATGTTTCTAATTATCATAGTAATAATAATAATACTGCACTTCTCAAAGCTGCAAAAATGCAAACTATACTTAAGTGACACTAACACAGTTTTTAATTTATGTGCTTATGCATACTGTGTTGGCATATTTTAGAGGGTTAATCAAGTCTCAATAAGGTCCACAGTGGAAACTGACATCATAATCAAAATTTAAATCTGTTTCATAAACAGACATATCTAATAGTAAACTAACCTCTGCCGAGTCTATATCAAAATGCCTTAGGCCTGAACGCCTCTGGCTGTAAGAGGAGACACTCTTGATGTTCTTGGTCATTGTACAAGTTGCTACTTCCTGTTGAAGTTGTAATGTAATGTATATAATGCATAAAAAATGTAATGTCGTCATAAAGGAAAATAAATACTTTACAATATTATAATTCTCCTAACTTGAAGGTTGAAGTGATGAAAGGCTTATATGCTTCTTCCTCTTTTGTCCTGCCGCTTATTCCGTTAGACATCACAGAGAGGAGTGTAGTTTGTGTAGAGCTTATGTTGTAAAGCATCATAGAGAGGAGTATAGCTGGTGTAGGGCTTATGCCATAAAGCATCACAGAGAGGAGTGTAGTTTGTGTAGGGCTTATGATGTAAAGCACCAAAGAGAGGAGTGTAGCTGGTGTAGGGCTTATGACATAAAGCATCACAGAGAGGAGTGTAGTTTGTGTAGGGCTTATGATGTAAAGCACCACAGAGAGGAGTGTAGTTTGTGTAGGGCTTATGATGTAAAGCAACACAGAGAGGAGTGTAGCTTGTGTAGAGCTTATGTCGTAAAGCATCACAGAGAGGAGTGTAGCTGGTGTAGGGCTTATGATGTAAAGCATCACAGAGAGGAGTGTAGCTTGTGTAGGGCTTATGATGTAAAGCATCACAGAGAGGAGTGTAGTTTGTGTAGGGCTTATGATGTAAAGCATCACAGAGAGGAGTGTAGTTTGTGTAGGGCTTATGCCATAAAGCATCACAGAGAGGAGTGTAGCTTGTGTAGGGCTTATGCTGTAAAGCATCACAGAGAGGAGTGTAGCTTGTGTAGGGCTTATGTCGTAAAGCATCACAGAGAGGAATGTAGCTTGTGAAGGGCTTAAGTCCTAAAGCATCACAGAGAGGAGTGTAGCTTGTGAAGGGCTTATGTCGTAAAGCATCACAGAGAGGAGTGTAGCTTGTGTAGGGCTTATGTCGTAAAGCATCACAGAGAGGAGTGTAGTTGGTGTAGGGCTTATGCAAAGCATCACAGAGAGGAGTGTAGCTGGTGTAGGGCTTATGTCGTAAAGCATCACAGAGAGGAGTGTAGCTGGTGTCGGGCTTATGCAAAGCATCACAGAGGAGTCTAGCTTGTGTCAGGCTTATGTTCCACTGGGAAATAAAGGTGGAAGAAATGAAAATCAAATCCCCACTGGACTGTCACTTTCACTTGTTCGGGTTATCCACCAGAGAGACAATGCTTGACAACAATAAGCGATGGTATGGTAGAATATCATCCGAGGAACTGATTCAAAATACCAAGGACCAAGATCTGTAAAGAGACATAAGCACCTGCACTGCAATTCACAGAAAGGATGATGATGATTTATTATTGATGATGAATTATTAACCTGATGTGAATATCTACTGCAGAAAGGTAAATGAATGTTCATCATAACATTTAAGGAATCTGAGGCAGTCAACGAAAATTCAGCCACACCAGGAAAATATTCTGTAAGATCCTTAAAAAGAAACTATGCCGTATCATCGAATCCAACTTAATTTTATTTATATTTGAACCCACAGAGGCAAAGAAACAAGAGCAGGCTAAAATTACATAGAGTACGAAGCTGGAGAGTGAACTTAAAAACGGGTGCGGAGACAATAAGTGAGCTAAACTGACAGCAAAGAAAATGATGATTGTTGAAAATTGGTGGAGAACCTATGCTTCATGTTCAATTTCTGTTTTTCCTTCTCAGAGATGTGATTCCATTTCCCTAATATACTGCAGCATTACAGTGTCATGAAGAAAAAGGGTACTGCAGAAGGAAGATAAGCAATGGACTGTTGCCTTCAGAGAGACAAGATGACTCAAATAATTAAGTTATGACTGTGACCCAGCAGCCTTGACTAGATTGCAATAACTGCAGGTAAAAAAAAGGGGTGAAGAAATACCATGCGCTGAATGCAGTGAGGGTGGGATCCAGACACATATCAACTGAATAGTTTGATGTGCATTGACTAATTTGCTTGTTTCAGTCAATAAAAATATATGATTTTATGTGCGCTGAGGGCTGACTAATTTTCTTGTATCAGGGTGAAAAGAGATGAAGATATACCATGCAAATAATGATTTTATATTCATTGAGGATTAATTTACTTGTTTCAGGTAAAAAGAGGAAAAAATACTATGCAAAGAAAATGTTTGATGTACAGTGAGGACTGACTAATTCACTTGTTTCAGGTGAAAAGGAATGAAGAAATATTGTGCAAATAGATGGTTTGATGTGCAGTGAGCACTGACTATTTTACTTGCTTCAGGTGAAAAAGGGGTGACGAAAATATATGCTTGATGTAATGACGAGGTTCCCAGACACACATCAAATGAACGGTTTGATGTGCAATACAGACTGGTTGACTTGTTTCAGTGTCTTCCTAATCTTCTTCTGAGTCAACGCTTTAAAGGGTAGGTGGCACATTCTGTTGCGATTTACAGCCAGGCTACAATATCTGCACCTTTCGGCAAAACACATCCAGTTCCTACAAACCCTTAATTAGTAATTTTTATAACATGCTTGATAGGAGGCAGTGGGTCGGTTACTTTTCCCCCCTAAAATGGTGCCCCCGGTGCCCACACAAGGATGTTTCAGTGAGTTACAGTGACAAAATCAGATTAAAAACCAAATTAATACATACGGCCTCATCTTGATCCAGCAGAGAAGTGGTCATTTCACTGCTTACAAACCATTTCTTTCCCTTCAACACCAGGTCATGTGGAGGGTTGTGTATCTGGTCAGAATCTGAACTCCAAAGCTGAAGACATTTTGAATGAATATGGCAATGAGCACAATTATCTCTGTGTATAATATAAATATAAGAAAGGGACAAACACTGTTCTTTTGCTACATAATGAGAAGAGAGACATTGGAGGACATCCTGACAACTGGAAAGATCACTGAAAAAGGGGGTTGAGGCAGACCAAGAGAGATGATGCTGGATGGGCTGAAATGATGGCAAGGAGCGATATCATCAAGAGAGCTGTTCCAGGCAACCAGGGATCCTGATCTGTGGAGACGCATGAGCGCCTACGCCAGCTGGCAGGGCACATGATGATGATGATGATATGAATAGAGTTATTTTAAACTGCCCTTACAGTCTACATAAAAGAAGTGGCTCTGAACTATGTAGAACTTGATTCTCAATGGCAATGCAGACTTGTTTTATTGAAACATCACGAGAATTTACCAGAAGTGATATCATTTCTTTTTCTTCTCTTTTACCACTCTAGGTATTGGGAGACATTAGGTTCTACTTCTTCAGGCCCCTTCTGCCATAGACATACTGTGCTATTGAAGTCTGTTGTCTTTCAATCCTGTTCTTGATGTACCTCTTGATTTATACCCTTCTCCTCTTTTAGTGTATGCCTTGTACAGAAAGGCATTGCAAGGCCTTCTCCATGAGTAGGCAAACTATTTGATATCACACTGGTACCAAGAGTTGTTCAGCAGATAGCTCAAAAACAATTTCACAGTGAACAAGTTTTAAGGCCAACCTGTAAATCTGCTGGTAAGGTCCTGTTTTCAAATGAGCATATGGTCATGTCATCATAAACCACTTCTGCTGCCCTTAAACGTCGTGGGGAGGAATAATTTGTAATTAAGTGCCCGCTGGCTGGCACTGGCTATTGTCATGCCGTGAAGGTGCAAAGCCTCTTTAATGTTGTTGATCCATTTTTTCATGGTCGTCCTCTTGCTCTTGTAGCTGATCTTCTGAGATGTACAGTGCTTGCAATGGTATTTAATGCTGCATTGCAAGGAAATGGAAAAACCACTTGATACTGGCATATGATACTAGCCTCAAATTTGTTACAGATCTATCACCAACCCCTGGTTGAGGAGGCCAAATTCACAATTAATGCTTTTACTTCCTATGATATTTTCTGATACTTGCATTCGACTGGGTTGGCCTGAAATACCAAGTCAACTTTTAAATTTTAAAAACTCGGGTACACAAACAGATATCTATATCGCCCCAACTTACTGTTAAAGACTGTCCTGCTTTGATAATATTTTTGCCAAACTTGTGCCTCGTTTCGTTCTCCCCTGCAACATGTCTGACCTGCCACTGATTGAGTGGTATATCCTGTAAATCAAAAAAGTTTATACTTACAGATTGAATCTAAAACACAATTTCGAATGACAATAATATTCAGAAAATCAAAGCAATGTTTCCCAGTGTCAATGTAAACACTGATACAAACAAATGATTACTACCAGCATATTTTGCTATCACTTGTCAGTGTGTACTACAGTAACCGGTGTTTGCGCTGCTAAAGCAGGCAGTTTTTCATAGATTATATTCAATTGTTACTAGGGTATGTGCCTGATGAGATATCGAAAAATATTCATTCATTATCCTCTTGTGCCTTTATATGTCACATAGGGCTCAAGTCTATTCCTCTATTCCGTTCTCTCTTGTGCAATCAGTTCAGTATCATGGCCTTTATTTCCCATTGTAATACTTATTTGGTGATTCTTTGCTGATTTCTTCTCAGGATGTGTCCAATGTAGAGCCATCTTCTTTGTCTTATCACTGTAGACACTTATAGCTGCCCAGAAATCTCTCGTTTCTTCACTCCTTTTGAATTCACTTCCATTGTATTTTCATTATTTTCCTTAGACATTTGTTTTTAAATGCATTTAATTTTTATTCCATGTCTATAGCTGTTCTCCAACTTTCATTTGCATATGTTAAAATTGAAGTAACATTAGAAGTGAGAATATGTAACTTGATTTAAAAACTATACAACTTAAAGTTATATATTTAGTTCAAACTATGAAAAGCTGCTGATGCCTTGCCAATGCGTTTAATTTCTTTCCTTCACTATCCGAATTAAAAATTAATGGACCCTTTTCCACGTCTTTAAGCGTATAGGATACATAGGGCTAACCTATATTTTTACAGACCAATTGGCACAAGATGAGTGATGTGGTCAGCATTACGCCGGCCACCTTTACTTCCCAGGACTGCACCGGTACCCACTCAAGGCCGGGAGTCAAAGTCGATTTTTGAAAAAAAAGTCTACTTCTGCCGGGGAGCGAACCCACGACCTTCCGATCCGTATGCTAGCATCTATCAAAATTACTATCTAAATAAGTAAACTGATCTGCTACTTTAATTACGTTTGTCTCTATTGTTGCATCTGCTTGAGCTGGTGTCTTCAATATATTTGTCTTTTCGTAACTTATTTGTAGTCCAACCCGTGATGCTATATTTGCTAAATCATCTGTTTTCCTTTGCAGGTCATTGCAGTTTATATATATATATATATATATATATATATATATATATATATATATATATATATATATATATATATATATATATATATATATATATATATATATATATATATATACTAAGCCAGCTGTCCTATAATATTTTTCTCATTGTTGAACAACTGACTGATGACAATTCCTGCTCAGGTGATGTAATTATCAATACAATGGGTTGTGTTGAGATGCAGAACAACTGCATAGGAGTTCACTGCAAAAGCGAATGGAAGCCATTTGTTACAAGCAAGCCTGGCGTATTATATCACATCTAGTTTGAGAATGGAAGTGGAGACAGTTACAGCAGCATTTCACTTACCTGAAAACCAGTTAGCCACACATTTTGTGATAAGAGCAGATACTTAAAGCATGCTGAGAACGGTGGAGAAAGGCATGCTTTGTGCAGGGTGGTAAGCATCGCTTCACAGCTCTTCAGCAGTTATCATCCCTTGTATCTTTTCTCCAGAGCATGAGAGATGAACAGACAGACTGGTGCTATACCACTGGTAGTGAATTGATCTAAAATAAACAGGACTGAGTCAAGGTCCTTTGAAAGCAAGTGAACAATGTGGAAGCAGGAAGTGACCAGTGGATCTGACCTACCCTACCCCAATACTACCCGCACAAGATGGACAGGTGCCATCAGCAATGGAACTCTTCGCCGGCTGCTTAGGGATGAGGACAGAGCACTTAACAGGTATGTTTCAAGTGTGGTGATGTCAGTGCTTAACTCAACTCCTAGAATTTTACAGAGCTTTTTAATCTCAATACTCAGACTAACTAGATTTTTACCAAAAGTGATTAATATAAAATAAGTTCTCAGCCTGGCACTAGCTGCGGGCGAAATAAATTTTTTAATGGTTTAAACATATTGCTGTCCATGAAATAACAGGCATTAAAATGGGAAATAAAGGGGCTGAAGAAGTGGGGGAGTACAAAAAAAACCTAAAACGAACTCTTAAGAGAGAGGTCAAAGGTGCTGGGCTGGATTCTACTCATGATCCATCTTACGCTCGAGTTTAAAGCCAGCGAACATGAAGAAGAGAGAAGGAGTTAAAATAATAATGTGAGATTGTGACACAAGAAAAAAATAATCTACCTTATCTGTGGTATTTGTCAGTTTGATAAACTTCCCATCCGCATCCACTTCTGATATTTCCACACCACAAGAAGATGTAGCCGAACGACTGAAGCCACTAGAAGAGCTACGTTGAGTGTACTCTTCTACATCATGAGCAAGATCTCCACGACGTCTCTTCTTTCCCCCGCTTGATGAACCAGTAGCTGGAGATGGTCTTTCGGAAGTAGACGTCGATAAATTCAACCTGAAACAGAGGCCAAACTTTAATCAATATTTAAAATTCAACAACAGTTAAATACTGCAGGCAGCGTAAATTATTAATTCAACCAGTCAGACAGGCTATAAATTGGTGATCTTCAACCTAGGTAGCGTCCTTTGCAAAAGTGTAGGGAGGGAGGAGGGGGGTGAGAAAGTTTCAAAGCCATTTTGAAATTTAGTGCATCTGTAATTGTCATAATCCGGATTTTCAAGTCACGAAACAAAAGTGCTGCAGCTTGATATGTACAGTGATCTCTGTTGACCAACAACATCAGACAAAAAATAGCAGATATTATCAAGACAAAAACAGTGTCAACCAACACACTGATATTTAGACAATAAATTGTTGGTGATTGTTTCTTTGTCATCTGACACGAAATTATGTGCGTGTCTTTTTCTCCAAGTTCTTATTAATAGTACTTGGTACTTTTCTCTTTGTCCTCTTTTCAATCACATTTAGTGTATGTATTTCAACGGACGGATTATATGTGTGGAGCACATAGATTTATGTATGTGTATAGAAGCCTGAGTAATACATGAAATTATTATACAATGGAACAAATTACTGTTATCTCAATAATATTTTTTTTCATTACAATACTTTTGTTTAAAGCAGTCCAGCTTTAGCTCTCAACATAACAAATTACACTCCATAAGTGCTTCTAATCACCTCAAACAGAATCTCGGCACAGGGCATGACATTTGTATTGAAATGAGTGTCCAAAATGTGTACCAACCTACTACATTTAGCTCATCTTAAGAAATATCAACAAGGTCACATGTTTGACAGATGAGAGGACCAGCTCTTTTCCTTGCTTTGAAAGACTAACCTAAGTTACATCTGATATTCGTTTTCACTTATCATTACTGATTCAAAGTCAGGGTGCATCTGTTTGAAGGCAGAGAACCAAGAGTCTGTATAAGCCAGATATGTAAAATGCATGTGCATGCAAAACTCAAGTTCTGGGTCCCCTAAAAAGTCCAGAAGTGGACGAAAAATCAGAACTTGCTGCCGGAGTTTATAGCCAGTGAAAGTGAAGAAGAATAATAAGAAAACTATTCGTTAAACCAATAGCTAAACCAAGTTATTTAAAAAGAAATAGAAACTTAATTTAATTCTTTAAAAAACCCCCCCCCCCCTCACACCAAGCACACATCTCTTCACTGGCTTTAAAATCAGGTGGAAAGTCATGGCTGTTTGACCGCTTCTAGACACTGGTTTTGGTCGATGCAAATGGACCCCTGAGCATAATGCATATGGCTTAACCAATTTAACAGAGACTCCGACTAAACTTGAGCAAGGGCTGCAATATCTAATAACTAACTATGAAAGCAAGTGTTTTCAGTCACTGACCTAGATTCCTCACACTCCAGCAACTTTCTGTAAGCTTCTATCTCTCTGTCCAGCTTAATCTTGATTTCCAGAAGGTTGGCATACTCTATCTCCAGATCTTCCACCTGAGCCCTGAGGTGTGCTATCTCAATATCACGCTGGTTTAACCGACTGCGGAAATCGTCACGCTCTCTAGCTAACTGCCTCTCCAGGTCGTGAATGCGATCTTCATAGCCTGCATGCTGGAGATAAAAAAATATTTATACAATTCTAAATGAGGCAAGTCAAGGGGAAAAAAACTTTAAATTTATAACCAATCTATCACTTGAGAGCCTTGGTGGCAGTGGACAGATGCTTGCCTGCCAGCCTGAAGTTCCTGGATTTGAGTCCGCATCGAGGCAGATTTTTTTAATAGGCTAACACCTGCTCAAGGTCAACCCAGGAACTGCCATGAGAAATAAATATGGTTAGTGTGATGTTGACTGGACCTTTAACAAACATCAACTCTGCGCTGGCTGCTGAAGATGAGGACGGAGCACACATGGGAATGCCTCGAGTGGTGTGATGTCAATTCCTGACTCAACTCAACTTAAACTCGCTAATGTAAAGTTAATATTATCCTCTTCAAGATCTGCAGCTGGCTTCAAATCTATGTATGCAGGGATTGTATTACTGTATTTACAATCCATACGCCCCAGATGTTTAAAACATAAATAGTATCTCATTTTTATTTGTGGGAACCCACAAGGGCAAAGAAATAAAGGAGACCACACCCAAAAAAAAAAAAAACATGGAGAAGGAAGTTGCAGAATGAGGTTTAAAAAGATGGGGAGGTCGTGAGGTGAGCTGTATGCAACAGCAAAGGACAGAATGAAAACTCTGCATAAGTTGGTTGAGGCTCTATGCTCCATGGGCGATAAATGTCAGAAAAAGAATGTTAGTCACAAATATGCCTATGAAAATATAACAGTAGACAATGATCAATGACCAACCTCTGATCTCAGTTTGCTGAGCTCTGATTGCAGGTCATCTATAGATTTACGAGCCAGTGTTAGTTCTTCCCAAGCTGCACTTGATGACGAGGTGCTCCTGGCAGCCTGTGCTCTCAAATCTTCAATCTATAATCATTGAATAAACAGAATATTAATTGTTCCCTGTTCTCTTAAATTTTTTAACTTTTTAACAGTGTATTTATGAATGTGAACAGGAAGAAAATGCAGTAACATACTTTGGGGGGGGGGGGGGGGGGGGGGGGGGGAGAGAATCACTCAGTCCATCAAATGTGAACAGAATCTCTCTGGCTAGCGATGACTACCACTTACTTGACCAGCATGGACAGGCCATCCTTCTATGCCTTAGGACAGGGCATAAGCAAATGCAAACTTAACATGCACAAGCTACCTCTAAGTAGTCCATCACTGTGGGCTGTGAGTGCACACTGCAAGATACAGGAACTCATCTGTCTGTGTAAATCAGTTAGCCATCTCAAGAGGAAGACAACTTTCTAACAAGTAGCTTAAAATGTTCAGTTTACATTAAAAGCACTAGCAAAAAACATCATCATCATCACCATGAAGTATTTCAGCCTTGGCTAGTCTTGAAACTTTTTAAATCATTCTACTCTACTGCTGTTTGCTTTATGGATCTCTCCAAATGCACCAGCTTACTAGATATATTATACACCCATTAAATTTTCCAACCACAAAAAACACATAAGGTAAAATTGTTTTTCCCTATTAATCCCAGCCACGACAAACATGCATTATTGAAATGTGTCGAAACGTAGACTTGAAATGAACCCCACTTGAAATGTTGCGAAAACGTAGACTTGAAGTTACGCTTTCAACTATCTTGAAATGATTCTGGTCTACTTGGAATGTACCTTGGTTTGCACCAGCTTCAACGTCTAGGGTTGACAACACACACTAACGCCACTCAGCTTCAATGTACAATCTGTCAGTTTATTCTGGTCCATGTATTCAACATGCTTAAACAATTATTCTCAATTCTATCACTCGCGACATATTCAAACATTAACCATTCTCGCGACATAAAAACTACATCTTCAATTACTACAACCTTCTTCCCTGACTTCTGATGATCGACTGACCACGAGGCTAGCTCGGGCTTCGCCTCGCTTACTCCACCGGCCACAAGTATCTCGTGCCGTCACTTGTAGCACGGACTTCCTGCTTGCCACAATGTACTCGTGGAGACCATGCAAAGCAGGGTCATCACACTCTCCCCCCTTTTTAACAAAATGACACTTTATGGAACATCAAGTGTCATTTTCATTTAACATACATAAAAATCAATTTAATTGTATTGCCACTAGGGATTATGGTTCCTGATTATCCTCAATTACTGCCCTTTAAAACTACCTCAATATTTACTGCATGCTTTTCCTAGTACTGAGCTGGTGAAGAGTTTAAACCATCTTTGCACCTATTGCATCTGTAGTGTTGTCTAGTCACTATATCTAATCTATCAGGTTTAAAGTGAAATGATGATAGTAATGATGATGATCAGCTTTGAGATATTTACTACACAGAAAATTGGGTTTAACCAATATTTCTACATCACCTTTCACAGGGTGTTAAACCCCAAGGACTCTTAGCCGATATGATAGTGGTAAGATATATTTTTCATAGTGCTTCTAGTTTCCCAAAAGCCCTATAACACCTTTTACAGGGTAATTACCCAACCCCAAGGAATCTACCACAGAAAAAAAAAAAATGCATGTTGAGATATTTTTTCATAGACTAAAGTCTATAATAATAATAATAATGTCCTTTGTTTCATCAAATTTACAACTCACAAAACAAAGCATTGATAAAGAAATTAAATACTTCTATAAACTTATTTTCTTCGCTAAAATAATTTAATTCCCTGAAGAAGAATAACAATATGACACTACCAAAAATAGTATAGTTAAATAATAGTAATTAAAAATATCAAGACAAATTGTATTTAAAGTCAAAACAAATGGTAAAACTGAGGCAAACACATATGCTCTACATAAATTTATGTTCCTGAGAATACTTTACCAAAAACTCAAAAATAGTTTTACAACCAAGTTTTAACCATGAGTCTTTCAGAAAAATTACTGTTGCATCAATGATTTTCTACAAGTGGACACTCAGGTCAGACTATGTAGAATTTTCATGATGCTTCAAATATAAATAAATTCTAACTGTTACTTTTTGTATGTTTGATTTTATCTGAAATAATATGGTTGACAGAAATTGTACAGCCAGCTGGCTCAATAAGCCATCATAAACAAATTAACATGTACTGATTTACATCCACAGAAAGAAGCAGAGATAGTAGATAGAATGTTTCTGTGTTATTATCTTTACTTACATGAATGGACCAATATAAGTCCATTTGTTTATCATGGCCTCAAGGCTCTCCAACTATTATATTTCTGGCCAAAAATGTGTATAACAATCTCAAGACATATCTTGGTTTTTTTTTTTTTTAATTATCAATGATCTATTTGCTTAAATATTATTTCTAGTCTTTTACTTCTAGTAATTAACAATGTTCTGAAGCTATGTAAATAAACAATGGTCACTTAATTACAGCAACAGTAATTTTATTTATGGCATTTAATAATGTTATGTATGTTTACCTTTAAATTTGCTACAACATGTTTTCATCTAGCTGTTATCAAGTTTTCAAAACTTACAAGGATCTATGTTCCTGAAAATATTTCGTCAAAAACTTAACAAAGTTTTTACAATGGAAATATATCAGATAAAATTTGTGTTGCATCACTGATTTTCTACAAGTGGACATTGAGGTCAGACCATGCAGAATTTCCATGATTCTTCAAGTATAAGGGACTTTTAGCTAAGGTCATGTTCTACAAGATTGACTAACATAAAATAAAGGCAGAAATTCTATAGTTCACTAATTAAAAATGTGTATAATAAAATAAATCCCAAGGTATTTACTATGTTTTAAATCAATGTTCTATATTTCTAACTATTATATTATCGCCAAATGCTTACTTCTAAAAAATTAGCAATGCTCTATGTAGCATATATGATCTCTAAGCATTTAATTCCAGTAATTAGCAATGTTCTGTCTACTCTGTGCAAGTATAAATTAATTATGATTCTAGTCTGTCAAATTATTTTGAGTCATTCTCTATGATTCTGATAAATGCAGCTGTACTCTTCTGACATTATTATTAAATATGTAAGTTTAGTAGTAGTTTTAACTTCTCCCGACTTCTAAATTCCTTAGTGCTATGAACATCTGTCTTTTTTTTTTTTGTATTCATATTTTAATATCTTCATCTGTTCCTCCATCTTAGCACAGCTGCATATATTGTCCAAATGGATGTAGGGCTACACATTTGAAATGGAGTTAAATAGAGACTGGGTTATTGTTTGCCCATTTTATTATCATTATCTTTGAGCATTCTCCTATGGATTTTTAGACCACATAATTGTTGTGATATTCCATCAAGTATTTAAATTATCTTGCATTTAATTCTGTGAGTGCAGCAAGAGGGAAATATGCAAGCAAAGTTCAAATCATCAAGTTATTTTATCAGAACCGAGTGAATTCAATTTTGTGTGATAGTTACTGTTTTCATAATTCAGTTTATTGTCCGCATTGTTCCTTGAGAACCGTTTAATCGAAAACTCAATAAAGTTTTGACTAAGAAAGTTCATCAGAAAATTACTGTTGCATCAGTGATTTTCTACAAGCGGACATTCAGGTCATACCATGTAGAATTTTCTTGATGCTTCAAATGAAAAATTACTTCTAGTAGTAAACTTCTGCTTTAAAAACATTATTAAACATCTTTTGCATGAATAACATTACTAAACATATATGGCTGACATAAACATATGCACGTACACACATTACCATAGATAAACTTCTAACTAACTACTGAGTGAGACAGAAATGTTTAAAAATCATTAACTGGAAGATGTTTTGAAGCAATCTTTCCTGTGACTGGTCAACTAACACTACATTACCACAGCTCCCTTTACTTTAAACACTACAATGCCACAGCTCCTTTTACTTATACCTACACAAACCACTATATGACCACAGCTCACTTTCCTTTAAAAACTATAAAATACTTGGGGAAACCTATAATTTCCTCATATAAAACAAACGAATACAATGGACCACAATATTTATGCAAGTAGTAACCCATGCTGTGTCTTATCAACCTTATTCTCACCTTATTCTCATACAGTGTTTCCAGCTCTACTTTAACAGACTGCAAGTCATACCCATGCTGTGTCTTATCAACCTTATTCTCACCTTATTCTCATACAGTGTTTCCAGCTCTACTTTAACAGACTGCAAGTCATACCCATGCTGTGTCTTATCAACCTTATTCTCACCTTATTCTCATACAGTGTTTCCAGCTCTACTTTAACAGACTGCAAGTCATACTCATGCTGAGCTCGAATTTCACGCAGGGCATCCTGGAGGCGAGCTTCATACTCTTGCTCAATCCTGCCATCAACGTCTTCCAGCTGAGTGGTTGTTCGGATACGGGATTCTTCCAACTCCTAAAAATAAAACAAATAAATTTTATTTCAACGCATATACACCTAATCTTTTTAATGTTGAATTAAGAATCGACATCACAGAACTCTGGACACCCCCATAAGCGCTCTGTCCCCATCTTCAGCAGCAGGCGAAGAGTTGAAATTGTGATGGTACCAGTAACTGTCCGATTGTATATCCATCTCGACTTTCCACCGAGTGTCAAGCGTTGGCCAGATCCCCTTGTAACTCCTCGCAGGACCATTCTCCTCAGACCGTAATGATCTATCTGCGCCTCCTCACTGTTCACTCGCTCCCAAACATCAGTTCACCACTAAGTGGTGCAGAACCGACCAGTCTATCTGGCTGCTCATTTCCCAACACACCGGCTTGACCTGGAAAAATTATCCAATACATGTTAACTTGGGACCTTTGAAGTGATGCTTGCCACTCTGCACAGAGCATGCCTGTCTCCACCATTCTCAACATGCGCTAAAAAAGTTACAATGACTACATGTGTGTACAGCTGATTCTCAAGCCAGCGGAAGCAGCAGTGACTGTCTCCACCTCCATTCTCAAACTAGACGTTGAGATATCATATGCCAGGCTTCGTTGCACCAAGCGACGTCCATTCACCTTCGCTATGAATCCCTATGCATTTCATCTGCCCCTCAACACAGAGCCATCTGTATAGAGAATCAGATCACCTGGGCGGGAACTGTCATGTATCATTTATTGAACTTCTGATTCTGCAGCACAACCTGGCCAGTCCCTGCACTCACGTCCCAAAGTGATTGGAACCCTAGACAAGTCTGAAACCTGATCGGATACTTTGACCCACTCCTCTCCTCGCCTCAATTTTCTGTTAAATAAATTGGTCCATGCAGTAAATGTAAGAGGTCCGTCATATTATTTAGAAAAAAAAACTTTAACCAGGAACCATTTCATGTATCATTTATTGAACTTCTGATTCTGCAGCACAACCTGGCCAGTCCCTGCACTCACGTCCCAAAGTGATTGGAACCCTAGACAAGTCTGAAACCTGATCGGATACTTTGACCCACTCCTCTCCTCAATTTTCTTTTAAATAAATTGGTCCATGCAGTAAATGTAAGAGGGCCGTGATATTATTTAGAAAAAAAAACTTTAACCAGGAACCATTTGGCTAAATGTTATCAAAACCTAAGTGTAGAAGAATGTTTCTTTTTTGCAAATTAAACTCGCAAAAATCTAATGTTAAATAAAGCTCTCCTCAAACAAACAAAACTGAATGTCAGTCTTTTGATTTATGTCACGTCTGGCTATGACATAGGCAGGCATTTTTTTTTCAAATAAGCCAAAGACTGTTTCAATATGAAAGACTGGGAAACAAATCCTGCATTTAGAAATTTTCCACTTTAAGCGTAAAAATAAAAAATGGGAAAACTCCAAGCCGCAAGATTCTTTCCTGTTGTCAAAACCACGAATGCGCACCCACTGCTGTCACTGTATGCTGTCTCTGCTTACGAAGCACAGTAAGCGGATTCATTTATAGGAGACAGAGTCTAGCTAGCAAATGTGTAAAGCTGTGTTCAATGTATCTTTTCTGTGACCACCCCCATAGCTGACCAAGCTGAGGTTTGTTGATGTTTTAACAAACACCATTTGCTTTCTGCTTATGCTGTCAATAATCTATTGATTGGTTGTACCTTGCAGCTTACTTTTTCGGTCCATCTACACACTGACCAACCTTTCATTCATACTTTCTCAAACTCTTTTAGGTCAGATGGGTGTAACGTTATCTTCCCTCCAATTACATCAGCACCAATGCCACGTGTTCTATAATACACGACAACACAGCTGTTAACGACCCCTAGAACATTTAGAACTGGTCCGAACCCAACAACCCCCCCCCCCCCACAGCATGAGCCTAGGTCACACGAGAAACTCTTTTCAAAGAAAGCAGCACAACCTGACATCCCTCTGACCTAGATCAGACTGAGAAAGTGTGTAGATGGGCTGGTAAACGTGAACAGGTCCACGGTTTCTACTAGATCTTTTTCTTCACATTCTCCCTGCCAATAGTTTTCAGTGAAGAAGGCAAAGGGCCTTTATGAAGACTGGTGTGATGCATGTCTTTCAAGAATCCATACAGCTCAGTGCCAGGGATCAAGCGGCCGGTGGCAAGGGTAAGGCATGTGTGTATAAAGGTCATTTGACTCGCCCTAATACAGGTACTGCAATCTACTTGTTCATTCTCTCTCACCAACTCCCAGAGCTTGATGGCTACTAACTTTTATGAGAGATGTGTTATAGTTAATTGCTGAAACACTTGAAGTACATTAATACAAGCTATTCAAGGTCAGACAGACTGTTTATTAGAACATGTTCACAGTTCACACAAGGAAGTCTAAAATACATAAGAAAGAGTGCTCTCAGTGACACAAGAGTGAAACCGTTCAGATAAGGATCACCCAGGAACAGGTCCAGAAACCCTGTTCAACCCATAGGTTGAGTTGTTTTGGCATCAGCCAGGGTGGGGCTTTAAAACAACAGCAAAAACTGTGTCTGACATTGGGATGCATTGTAAGGTAATTATTATCCTACCATTTTTATATCATAATAAATAACAAAACTTATATAAATATCTAAGATTTAACACTAACTATATCAAATCTACCAGAGCCGAAACAATTTACGTCCATCTTCCCTCATGTGTCTTTCCTGAGTGAGTAACCACAAATGGGCTCATTTGCGTATTGTGTATTAAGTACTGTTTACTAGTTTTGTGCCCATTTTTAATGTCTTGTATTTCAACAATAAAATGGGTCACGACATTTAGTTTAAACAGTAATTTTAACTGTTCTGACCTGGGATATCTCTACTGCATGCAGAAAGCCTGTATCAGAGGTTGTCCCGGTTATGGGACAGTGTGATGATGATGATGAATCAGCAGGTCTGTGCGTAGTGACCCCTAACTAAACGCAAGGCCAGTGCAGACAAGCGGAAACACAGATTAGTCCGTAGTAGCTGAACTAGACTTGCTGGGTGTCAGCGGACTTCACAAAGTGTCAACTTAACGCTGAACCCGCTACTTCAACAAAACTCTGGGTTAAGGGCAGATCAGAGGATTCTTGGCAGGACAACTGTGTAAAACAAGACCATGCATTGTTCGTGGCAAAAGCATCTCCCGACACACATTCAGCTCCCACTCTGCGTGTGCCACAGAATCCTTAGCCTCGGGAGACAGCGCTTTATGGGAGTGTGGTAGGAGCTCAGAGCTTTTTTTTTATGAAAGGTGTAAAGGCGCGTCTAGCATTCTAGCAATTTTAAAACTTGTGCGGTCTGGTTTCAGAATAAGGAGCACTTCCGCTCCTGAGACAAAACTCTTGAGTTCGTATTCTTTGATAATAAAGACTGTGTGTGTGTGTTCCATGGGCGTTCGGGCTGGTGTGTTTCTTATTAGATTTATCTGTCATCGCCCTGCAGCGCAGCCATAGATTTAGACCCTAGACAAGTAGGTCGTTGACAGCCTGTCTGCAGCACATGTTGGGTATTCTGGGATATCTGTCCACATGGGCAGAGCTCTGAGTCCCCAGTCACAAACTATTTTATAAAATGCTGTTGAGTTTGCTGTGTCCTGTCTGTAATCTACACTCTACTGGATGAAGTAGCAGCCTCATACCAACCTTCTTTAGGCATCTCTTAGAACACAACAGGTAGATTTTAAGTACTACTAATCTACATTATACTAGCATCTTTTAGAACACAACAGGTAGACTAAATACCACTAACCTAAATTATGCTTGCATCTCTTAGAACACAACAGGTAGATTAAATACTACTAACCTACATTATATTAACATTTCTAAGAACATAATAGGTAGGTTAAGTACTACTAATTTGCTTACCTTTACAGCCTCAGCGACAGAGGCAAAAATGAAGATATTACAGTACACTAAACAGTAACATGATTATAGACTAGTTATTTATTTTTTTGCAGCACAGACTGTCAATTATCTAAAATACTGCTCCTCCACAAACCTGCTCATAGACCTGGCTCCTAAAATGAAGGTCTTCCTTAAGGGTCTTCACTCTGTTCTCCAAGTCAACTCTCAACAGAGTTTCATCTTCCAGTTGTTTCTTGACAGCAGCCAGGAGACCTTCTAGTCTGTTCAATTCATTCTTCAAATTCTAGAACAGAAACAAATTCAGAGAGCACGTTATCACATTTGTTAATAATCTGCATAAATTTAACTAATTTAGTACCAAAGAACTCTATATCTGTTTATGACTCCTCCTTACGTGGTATGCTTTCCTCAATCCCTACTCTCTTACCCTGTTGTTACAAAGCCACACCTGATTCTAAATGTTTCAACTGTCTCCACTTAATAAGGTTAGTTATTATCTTAAATCTTTTAGATTCAAATATTATTAGGTCCAAGTAAATCCGGTAATGTTAGTTTCAGCTTCATAGCAAACGGGTCACCCCATAGTTGCTCCGCTCCTGTGCCAACGAAAAACACACAGAATGTTTATCACAGTCCCTTATTACAGACCCAAGTAAGTCTGTTGTTATGTTTAGAATGAATTAAAAAGTAAAAACGGTACTAAAAGAGTCATTTGAGTTCATATTACATGTAATATATTCTGAATTTTTTTTCTCCAAAATGAAAACCTTGTCAAATTCCCCAAAAAAGCAGTGCAAAAGTATTCCAGGCATTTTTTTCAACTGATTACTAGTTTACGAAAGGACATAGCACACCAGACATATCCACAGATGCTGAGTCTCCCGTAGCAAATGTCTTAAGGTGTAGATGCTAACTGTTCCCGTAGCACACGTTGTTATACACATGGCTTTCTTTTCCTCTCACCCGTCCCTCTTTGCCGGATCCACACTTAATTCCTTGTTCACACATTCTTTCACATGTTATTTCATTTATCTTGTTTCTTCTATCAGCAGTCATTCATATATGGTCTTCAGAATATCTCCCTTGTCCAGTAGAAGTGTTCCCGTAGCTTTCGCTTTTGTAGCCAGAAAATCCACTCTTTCATTACCTAGAACTCCTGCATATCCCAAACAGTATATCCACATGATTCCCTAAAGTGTTGGTGTACTGATGCATGGTATCAGACAGTACATGCACATGATTCCCTGAAGTGTTGGCGTATAGATGCATGGTATCAGACAGTACATGCACATGATTCCCTGAAGTGTTGGTGTACTGATGCATGGTATCAAACAGTACATGCACATGATTCCCTGAAGTGTTGGTGTACTGATGCATGGTATCAGACAGTACATGCACATGATTCCCTGAAGTGTTGGTGTACTGATGCATGGTATCAGACAGTACATGCACATGATTCCCTAAAGTGTTGGTGTACTGATGCATGGTATCAAACAGTATATCCACTTGATTCCCTAAAGTGTTGGTGTACTGATGCATGGTATCAAACAGTATATCCACTTGATTCCCTAAAGTGTTGGTGTACTGATGCATGGTATCAAACAGTTTATCCACATGATTCCCTAAAGTGTTGGTGTACTGATGCATGTTATCAGACAGTATATCCACATGAATCCCTGAAGTGCTGGTGTACTGATGCATGTTATCAACTCATGCCACATTAGTCCATTTTGAACCTTCCACAATGCCGACTGAGAATCAGACATAACAGCTGCTCTGGTAACCCCGTCTTCTGCTTTCCAATTCACACTAAAACCAAAATGTAATTTTTTTTAAGGGTTAAATGTTTTTTGAAAAGGGGGACGGGGGAAGGGGGCATGAATGGCCCAGCCAGCAATTTGCAAATACAAAGTTAATAATGACTATATGCTGTGTGCATGTCTGCAGAAATGTAGCAGCCAGATCAAATGAGCTTGTGAATCAACATCGAAGTTTCAACAAATGTTTCCATTGAGTTATTCTTGTAGGGATGTTCCATTCTTATGTGTGCAGAAGACAGCTCCTAATGTTTAGTAGAGCTGTGTTTATGACAAGCAGAGCTAGTTCTTGGAAATGTTGCTAAAATTTTGTATCTATTTTGTATGATGGACAAAAACACTCACACACATTCTTTCCCTCTTTCTGAAGGACAACAGAAATATGCACAACAAACTTGCACGATTTAACACACATCTTTTTTTTTTTTTAATTAAAGTAGTAAAATCTAATTAACATTACTTTAAACAATATAGCCAATCTGGAAAAAAAAAAGTAAAAACCAGAATGTATACCAAACCTTATAAAAAATGCATATCAATGCTGTAAACAGGAGAAACAACAAAGGACAACACAAACATGCAACACTGTCGTTAATTAATAGCCATTCACTGACCCAAATTTCGAACTGAACAGTACTGCTATTAGTGTGATGCTTGGTTGAATTATTAATGTGACAAGCACAACCCCTCCTTCATCGGGCTGTGTGGGTAAGATTATGTGTATGTGATTGTGTAAAGGATCATGTGTTATTGTGTGTATGTATATGTAAGCATGTACGAGAGTATATGCATGGGTATGTATGAGATAATACCTCAAAACTCTATGACATGGCCATCGGCGGGTAAGAGGCGCCATAACCTCTCCCCCCTGCTGCTTTGCAGGGTAAGTCTCTTTAGACAAAGGCTATTGGAGTCAAACCATACACAAACCAGCGGAAGGCAGGGGGAAACCACCGCTGTAATATCCATAGTAAATCATGCCTCAAAATAATACGTATTCAGAGCAACCAAGAGGTTTTGAAAGAGGCGGGAGCCCGATGACAACTTATCACGGACATCAGAAGGAGACAGTCATGATTTTTCGGCCATGTTATGAGAAGAGGGAAAATAGAACATGTTGTGACCACAGGAAAGATCTGTGGAAGGAGGGATAGAGGAAGAGAAAATGCTTGACAGTCTTGTTGCATGGCATGGAGGTGTGTCGGCACACGAACTGATACATGCTGCTGGAGATCGCAGATTATGGAGAGGCATGATCGCCCACGCCAGTCGGCAAGGCACCTGATGATGATGATGTATGAGAGTATATGAATAGGTAGTAATGAGTGTATATGTTTTATATGCTTTTGTGGGTTTTTGTTTTAGCTAATATCGTTGTTTTTGTTTGTTTTAGTATCCAGAAGTCATGAGTTGTTAACCCTTAGGCTCGGTATTATGGATATCGCAACCTTTCGGCCTTGATTCCATTGTAAATACCATAAATCTGGGAGAAAATGTGGCTTTCCTGCCTACTCCCGGGATTGAACCCGGACCACAATGAGTTCGTCACCCGCTCTCCGGTTTAGCCAACTATGCTAGAGAGCCGGGCTTACCTAATATTCATATCAAATATATGGTTATATGAACATCACATGCTTTATTAATAAATACAACTATGGTCTAACAGATGAGTGTTTGGAAGAGGTGTATGTAAAAAAAACAGGCCCGTGTGCCCAACTTGTGACCCTTTGAAAATGAATTTTGTTCATTCATCTCTCTTTCCAATAAAATGTACATCTTTTTCAACTTTACCCCTTCACATTATCAGAAATACTACATCATCATCATGTACCCTGCTCAACAGCATAATCTTTTTTTTCCTCTCCACTATGCTCAGCATCCTGGATCAAGTCCCTATCACATTACCCATAATTTCTCTTGATATGCCTCTACTAATAATATTTTTTCCAGGCTTTACAATGTTGTCTAATGCTCTACTGATTATACAGCCATATAATGTTTTAAAAACAAAGGTTTTCTGTAGCAAATTTAAACAACACATAAATACACTGGACATTATATTGCCTGACATATCTGTTGTATTTAACTAGGTGCATTACAATGAAGCTGAATATAATAAAGAGCAACAACCATCACCATTGTTCACTGAAATACACAATCACACTCTCTTCTCCTGTTACACTTACTACAAACATACTGAAATCATTGTCACTGTCTTATACTTTTCTAGTTTTATCAGCCTCTTCCGAGCAATCGTTAGCTACTCTGGTACACCAAGGTAATTCACAAAAGTCGTCCCATAAACCATATTTTCACAGCTTTCAACCTATTCCTAATTTATTTGTTCACATTTTATAACGAACTGCCAATATCGCAAAACAATATTTCAGTACTCCTTTTTCCGATACGCAACAGATATTACTTATCCATAGGATATTTTTCATCTTCAGAAAATCAAGTTTCCTAGCCAAATTCTGCTGTCTTAGATAGGAGACTATGCTGACTAGGTAAAAGAGACTATGCTGACTAGGTAAAAGAGACTATGCTGACTAGGTAAAAGAGACTATGCTGACTAGGTAAAAGATACTATGCTGACTAGGTAAAAGAGACTATGCTGACCAGGTAAAAGACACTGTATTATTGGCTGTATTACCTGTGCTTCTCTTTAGCACAATATAACATTAACACCAGGAGAGATGAAAAGGTGCCAAAGCGAATGAAAGAATTAAATTTATTTTCAACTGGTTGAGAATTGGACAGACGGGCTCATTTAACATTCTGCAATTCTGTCGACTCTTTACCCCACTATTCTTACTAAAATAGAGATAACTGGCTAAAGAGATTTTTTTTTTTAATGTTGGTTATGATGATATGGTCAATATCACTCTGACACCTTTATTTTCCAGACCTTATAACAATTTTAGGCTGTCAACATACATTTTTTGTTTTAAGTGGCTTTAGTTAGTGAGACCATAGCACACACTCATTCTTATGATTACTTACTTGATTCTCTTTCTCCAGTTCCCTAGACTGAGTTTCAGCCAGTTGTCTTTCCAAGATCTGCACACGCCTTTCAAGACCGGCAGCTTCACGGTCACGTCTGTTGAATCTGTGGACATTTCACATAGAAAACAGTACACCTCTCTGTTAACGTACATGGCTGCATTATTCAGGTTGACTGAGGATGATGACTACAGTTAAGAGCTGCCCCAATGGCAAGTAACAGATAAATGAAAAAGGCAGAAAGTGTAAGAATTTTTTAGTAACAGAACAAACAAACACAAGTCATAGATTGTTTACTTTTTCTAGCTAGTTGAACAGTCAATTTTTTCAAATATTTATATAGGGTTAACAAAACTAGTACCACATTAAAGTTGTTATATCAATTATTAGCCAGACATATTGAATTTTTGGTGTGAACTGTCTCAAGGTGCACAACTGATCAATTAAACACTACTGCTGGTTGGTTTGCTTGGGTCAGAAGTCATACCAACTAGACTTGATCAGCTGGTTTGATATCAAACATGCAAGACTGACTGTAGGCTTTCTTTCATGATTGAATTCCTAATTCTCATCTCTTTATAATAGAAGAGATCAAATCAGGAATGAGGTCATGAAAGAAAAGTCAGCACAAGAAGATTTTTAATAAATTACAAAGACATCAAATAAAATAGAGATTATGCTTTATGATGCCATACCATACAAGGCATACAACAAAAGAGGGGAAGGGGGCAGAGTATGAGGCAGACCAATAACAAATGGAACACATTTCAAAAATCATAGAAACTCTAGAACAGTATGATGTGTCAGTGGTCAAGATGGCCAAAAGAGCAAGAATCAAAACCTTATATCTCCATCAACACTTGAAAGAGTAAAAGAGGAACTGAAGGTGAAGCAGAATTCTGTTGCACAATCTTCTTTTTTGCGTTCACCAGCTGTAAACTCTGGTGGAAAGTTCTGGTTGTCCGTCCACTTCTAGACTGCAGTCCTGTTCCAGAACTTGAGTATTGCGTGTGATTCCGTTTGACAGATCTGACACATTTGTGTGCAGACTTGGTTCCTTGCCTCTAAGGCAGATGCACTCTGACTTCGAAGGAAGCTCCCAATTAGTAGACTCTTACGACATGCTTTTGGGTAGACAGTGGGTCTATTCTTGTTTTTCCTATAACAGTGTTAAATAATAACATGTGTGTGCTAGTTTTTTTTTTTGTTTTTTTTTAAATGCCTCACTGAGTTATAATCATTAATTCAAAACTGGTAGACATGTGCTGCTGAGTGGAGGGCTATTTTTATTGCAAACAGATCTAATTTTTAATGAATACTGACTGTTACATTAACTCTTTGTATACCAAGGTCACATCAGGCATTGATTTATAACTATTTTAACTGTCCTCTGCTACTGAAAAGGTTAAAGTCAGTAATTACTCTTTCACTGTCTTTACCATGTCATAAATGAACTGACATTAGTTTAAGAAGCATTCATGAAATACAATTTCTGCAAGGGCCTCTTTGAATAATGCTGATTCAGAGATTAATGGTACCTTTCCGTCTTTTCCGATAGTATTCCACTATGCTAGAGTGAGGTATGGGAATCAAGCCCACAGCTCCATGTATGGATTCTAGGGCTCCTTCTGGGAATTGGAGGGGGGAAGAGGGTGTCCAAAGAGATAACCAACGTCCTCTAAAAAGTATGTTATGTGAGTCTAATCAGGGAGTTTTTCATTGAAGTTGGAGTGTATCTTACAAATAAACAACATTTTGCATTCAAATAAGCCAGAGCTGTCAAATGGACGTGAATGGAAAACTTAAGTTCTGGAACATGACTTAAAGTCTAGAAGTGAAAGAAAACGTGGAACTTTCCGCATGCGTTTACAGCTTGTGAACATGAAGGAGAAGACAGCCCATACTTATCAAAAGCAGACAAACTCATCACTCTGTAGAATTCCTGAAAATTCAGGCCTAAGCTACCTACGCAGCAGCCAGATTCTTGTGTCTTTATTTTCTGTCTAGTCTGGTGTAATCAGAAAAGGACGTCAAGAAAAAAAACATAATAATATATACAATATATATATATACACACACACACACATATATAAACACACACACACATACAATATAGATCATCACTGTATAATGTAAGAGCTTTTAGAGGTGCTGATTTATTTACTGACTACTTTCTCTTGGTAAGTAAAATCCAGCTGAAACTTAACAGATATATAACATCTTATAAACACAGAAACCAATTTGATGTAGGATATCTCAGTTACAGTCTCTAATAGGTACTAAGTTTTGCAGCAGTTAGCTGAGGACATAAGTACTGAGAAGTCTGTTGGAAACAGATCAGTACAACTTTATTTGAAATGAATCTTGTGCAGAAGTCCTTGCTTAAAAAAAAAAAACAAGAATGGAAACATCGGGGATAATGCCTGAAACCCTTAAAATGAGAGAAGAAAGGAAAAGTTCAAAAGATCTATAAACAACAGGAACACTAAAGCAGCTAAAACTAGAGCTAATGAAAAACACAAAGAAGCTAATAAGAAAGTAAGAAGTAGAATAAGGATAGCGAAGCCAGCAGCAGCAAAAAGGAAACCTAAGAGAACTTTACAGTAACACAAGGAAATTAGTAGGTAAATATCAGCCAACTAGATCAATCAAAAATAGTCAAGAAAAGGTACTCACCAACACTAAAGATCAAATGGACTGAATATTTTAAAATACTTCTGGGTTTCACTGCCTTAGACTATTGAGTTTAGCTCTTGGGGCAGCCCTGAGAGCTGTTTTCTTGTGTAATGCCTTTCGTTTGTGAAAATGTTGTGTCATGGTATTCAAAATGGCTGGCAGTCAGTTTACGTTTGGGCTGGTAAAATGCCTTATGTAATAATTTTACGTGTGCATAGCTATCTTATTGTGACCGAGTACTTCCAAAAACAACAATCTGCATTTCTGGTGGCGGCTGTTGGCTTTGGCGCATCTAGCAACTGCCATATGTATTTACTGTGGTGCAGATTTCTAGATTGTGTAGTGTACATAATTTGCTAAAACTAACTGAATGTGCTACAACTAATTACTTAGTCAGTGCTAATTTCTGTCTTCTTTTTTTTTCTCTTCCACTGTGTACCTCAGGGAAGTGTTGGGGGGGGGGGGGGGGGGGGAATGTAACATTTGCTGATGAGCTTTTTCAAGAGGACTATTAGGATTGATGTTCATTTCTGTAAGACTTCTAAATGCCATAACTCCATATTTTTCCAGATCTTCCTCTCGCTCTCTTTGTAATGTTTTAGTGTGGTATTGTGGGAGATAGTACCTGCCCAGGCATTCTTTTTAGATGTCCAAACCACTTTATTTGTTGTTTTTTGATGACCTGTAAGACTGGCTTTATTCCTAGCATTCGTCTGATTTTGTATTGTCTTTCCTTAAAATTTCTGCAGCTCTTCTAAGGCATTTCATCTCTGTTGTCACAATTTTACATTCATTAGAGGATGTAAGTGTACATGTCTGGCACTGATAGCATAGTGTTGAACAAAAAATAGTTCTGATAAGATTCACTTGAGTACTCTAGGGTATCTGTTTGTGTGTCAACAGGGCAGATTAGATAGTTGCCACATTACTTGATTAGCACTGAACATCACAAACTAATTTCTCTTTCCAGTTTTCCAATGGATCTGAAAATTTCTGGCTAAATACTCTGTCTTAAGGTGTTGTGTTTTTTTTTTTAATTCTTTTCTCTAAATTGTTTTTCTGTCTTCCTATCACCACTGTCTCTGTAGTGTTCATTTTCATATTATATTAATATTCATCCCCTTTGTTATTAATTTGATTTAAGTGGTTCTGTAAGCATTCCGTACTTTCTGCTGAGTACCTGGTCGTAGGCGAATAGCTATAGCAATTCTGTAATGTAACATCTCCTCATGATATATACTATTAGTAGGTATCACTAAGTATCCATGTATGTTATAAAAAGAAGTGGCGATAGTACACAACCCTGACGCACACCAGAGTTCACTTAATTTTTTTACAATTAATAAAACAAATACACAATTAACATGCTTCACTTACTTGCCCAGCAAATCCTCATACTCTGCTTTGTACTTGTTCGCTTCAATCTGTAAACGAGCTTTCTCTTTAGCGGTCTCGTCTAGCAATTTTCTAAGTTCAGAAAGTTCTGATTCATACAGATTTTTAACAGTGGTCACCTCTCTTCTTATAAGCTCTTCCGTGGATTTTACCTGCGATGAAAGGCGACTATTTTCCGCCTCCAGACTTCTCACTTTATCTATGTAAGCAGCCAAACGATCGTTCAATCCTTGAAGTTCTTCTTGTTCTTGCATACGCGACAGTCTTGCCGGAGAGGGTTGTCTACCAGAACGTCGACTGGACGAACTATAACCGCTAGAACTTGGTCCTTCTCCGCCCGAATAAGTCGTTGTTGTCGTTCTTTTAACATGCTTCGTAGCCATGATTATACAAAGCTTTGACAAGGATAATTTTAAAAAAGACCGCTGGTGTTTACAACTTTTTCAACCAGCTGCCGGCTGACGATGGAAACGTATACAGGGCGACACACTTCTGGTAGTGAAGTACCTAGCGGACTTAGCGTGCTGGTGGCGGGTTGTGTATCACGTGACAACACACCTTACCGGTGTACTACCGTTCTCTGTTTGCTGTGTGACTCAGGCTTCTAATGTCCGGGGGAGTGATGGTAGCAGGGCAACTGAAGTTGGTACTTTCGCACAAATTTTGTACTAGTTGAACCTTGTCGAGAAAAGTGTAGTTTTGGTAACACGCTCGATGTTTCGTTATGTTTTAGAAATTGTGCATCAGTTTGTTAAACAGTGCCGTTGTACGCTGGATCAAGTAAATGTTACTGAAGGAAGACTTTCGTCAATTATGCCATTGATGTTGAAATTTCTTAGCCTTGTTTGAGAAAAACATCACAAACAAATAAATAAAGCATGTAGTGAACTAACAGTGTAATATCAACCATCTAATGGTGAAAACAATAAAAGAAAATACTTTAAAATGTATGCATAGTCTTTTGGCATTACATCATTCCTCTGCTGCTGCAGATAGTATGTGCTCTCTATGTCTAACAACGCATTAGCACCTTTCCCTATTTGTATATGTGTGTATATATATATATATATATATATATATATATATATATATATATATATATATATATATATAAAGATTTTTTTAAGTTTTTTATTTAAAGATGAAGAATTGAGTGACTTTTAGTGTGTTTTGGTACCTTTTTATACACACAAATTGGTTCATTTTCGCCAAAGAACTTCTGTAGCCCTGGGTGGCAACTGGTGAAAGTAAAGAGTGCGTGAATTACAAATATGCCACAGTAAGATGGGGAAGGAATGTAAAGGGGAAATTGTTACATTATGAGGGAGGGGTTGGAGAGACTACGGTAAATGGGACAAAAGGGCAGATAAACCTTAATCTTGACACCTATTTCTTGTCACTGTACTAGTTTTTAACAGTCTGGTGCAGAAACTTGAACAAAGAACAACCAGAAAGAAAGTAGAACTGCTGTTCCCAGTATGTGAAAATACAGACGAATAAGTCATATTTCACAGGAAATAAAAACAATGAAATACAAAACTTATGAATACCCTTTTTTGTTCCGGAGCCCTATTGTGGGGGAAAACAGATACACCGCCTCCACTACAAACATGTCGTGTGAGTCGACTAACTGGGGGGATCCTTCGAAGTCGGAGTGCATCTGCCTGAGAGAAAATGAACAAACACTCTGCACACAAATAAGCCAGATTTGTAAAACGGGTATACATGCAGCATTCAGGTTCTTGAACAATCTAAAGCCCGGAGGTGGACGAACAACCATAATTTTTCGCCGGAGTTTACAGCCGGTGAAAGCGAAGAAGAAGAAAAGTTATGAAGAGACTGTAAACGAGAAAGGACACATTCAAAGACATAACATTCCTATAATAATCATAAAGGATGAAACAACTAAGACATGTGAACAAGAGGTAGAAAACGCTGGTGTGTGTATGTGTGGGGGGGGGGCGGTCAGCAAGAAATGAATGAACAGTGGTCAGATCAAATGTATAAATGAGACGAGACTTTGCCCATTACAAATGAAATCCATTGTGGAAGCGGCAATCGATTGACCACTTGATCCAGTCCCAATCTTGCAAACATTCCAGAATTCCTAGTTTCGATACTCACGAACAGTCTCGCCGTCGGAGCTTTCCCCTGCAGAACTTCTTACTTGTACACAGGCGCCTGCGGCAAAGGAGACTCACGACAACACAACCTTCCACAAACATTATTTACGGCGAGCGAACGCCGAACGAAGCATTTCATGACACCCCCACAGGACAGGCCGTGCGACCGGCCGTATCATAACACGATATATAAATATTGTATATATATATACATACACACATACTCTGGCGTCTGTGGCTTAGGCGTTGCCAGCCCGACTCGTAATTCCAACGCACCGCGATTGAAACCCACTGCTGGTGCGTGGATTTTTGATCTGGTATGGGGCGTCGCAGGTCGACCCAGCTTAAAATGGGTACCAGGATGTATATCATGGGAAAGTAAAGACGGCCGGCGTAACGCTGACCACATTACCCACCTAGCGCCGATTGGTTGGTAAAAATATGGGTACTCTTCCCATTTGCCCGATGCGCCTAAAGGCTTGCAAAGGTATCTTTACTTTACATATATACTCTGAGAACTTAATCAACACTATACATCTAATTATAACCCTGAGGGTTAAACATGATATTTTCCAAAAATTACTACAACTACAATTACTTAGAGAAATAAGGACAAGTTAACATAATGCATCAGAAGGAGCACACATAAGATCTTAACATCCTACCCAACTGTTTACTGAGGTAATAAAAAACAAGAAAAGAAGGAGGGGTTTAATGGTGGGGTGTTAACCATACATTTTCAGTCAGGGCAAGATAAAGTTGGTTTTACTGAATTTTAAGAATCGACATCAAAGCATACCGAGCAGAACCTTTGATGCTACTTTTTCCGTGTCAAATCTCTAAGTGTGGAGCACGGATGTGGTGTGTAGATACTCTTCCATCAGCACCCTGGCTGTAAACGCCCTGCACTGTTCCTCTCATATATACGCTTCTCCATGAGGAACCCTCCTCATTTTTGCATACTTAGATAGCTTGATTTATGCAACATTGTATGTTCAGCTAGTTTTCGTTGTCATCATCATCATCAAGTGTCGTGTCGATAAGCATAGGCTGTCCTGTTTCGCCATCTCACACAATCACGGATCAGGACAGTGTTCTTCTCTCACCCCATCCGTTTGGCTAAACCATCCACGCATCTATCTCTTTGCACTCCTGTGCTTTTTATTCTACCAATCTTGCCAGTTGTACAAGAGCTCTCCGGGTCAGTTCCTTCGCATCCCCGCATAGGTTCCGGGGTCGCACTGCGACCGAATCTCTACACGGCATTTTCTGTCTGTTGTTACGATTGTTCTAAAATAATTGAAACGATTAATCTATTTACGATTTCTGTCATCTACATTTATGTTACACTGTGATATTTCTTTCTTCTCAGAAATGGCCATAATGCTAGTTTTCATTCATAGACGTCCCGATGTGGGATGATTTTTAAATTTTTTTTTTATTGAAGCCCCACCCAGGCTTCTGCCGGGGACACTGAAAATAGCCGGCGCATAGATATGGCCTACCCATAGATATTGCCTAACAGCTGAAAGGGGTTTTTAGGACCTCTTCACGGGTTATACTCATCCGCATGGTGGCACCAACTACCAACCGCCCAAACCATAATTTCAGTTTTTCATAATTTCAGTATAAGAACATTGTTCACCATGTACAAAATATGTCATTTTGAAGATATCTCCATCTGTCGACATTCAGTACTGTAATATCTTTTGTATCTTATTTATGAGTGATGTTACATCACAATACGGTGATTCCCTGCATGTATTTTAAATTTCCATGTCACTTGGAGTCTGGAAGAGAAGTTCTGGAAACACCACACAAAACATGTTGCCGAAGTCGACTCACTTCATTATCAATACTTATGGTTGCATAATGTTTACAACATATGTTCTTTGCTAGTTTAACGTTTTTCAAATCGATTTGGAGATACAAGCATTGCTATCTTATCGGAGTGACTGACACAGAGAAGTAACTAGGTTTGAAGGTTATGGAGATCACCTTGAATACAATCTTTATACCTACTAGACTACGGAGTACTTTGTTAACCTTCGAGTAAACCAATATTTCTGAACGGGGCTTCTTAAATATGTACATATTTGATTCCTATCCTTGAGATGAAGAAGATGAGAAATACTGACATCTTAAAAGATCTGAACATCAAGAAAGACTGGCTAATAAACAGCATCCTTTCTCGAAAGCTGAAATATTTTGGTCATATCAAGCGCCACAACGGATTTAAAAAATTATAGCAGAAGGCATGGTACCAGGAATGAGGGGCAGGCGCCGACCGACACGAAGATGGGCACAGGATATAGGTGACTCCTTGAGTGTGAAAGTTCATGAGGCGGGAGAACTGGCAAGAGACCGAGTTTCTTTCAGGCAGACTGTGATGAGAGCGACGTTCTGCAAAGGACCTGCTACGTGATGATGATGATCCTTAAGATGTTAATTTTCCCTAATGCAACCCCTCTGCATTTTGGTATTTCAATTTGCATGCCAGCATCGCCGGCTTCATATCGTTCAGTAGTTCTAATCTCTTCATTTCTCACACGATTTAACCTGGTTTTGTTCATATACTTTCTTAAACCCCTATTTTTCATACGTGGTTAGTTTTCTGTTGTTTCTGTTAATCAAAACAATGTTTTCCCGTAATGAATTTAAATAATGCGGATACAAACAATACATTGCACAGTTTATTTATTGCCAGGCATATTTCGCCATCTCTCATCAGGTGCGTTATTACAGTGTTTTTGTTAATGTCAAAGTTCGACACTAGTAACATAAAATCTGAACAAAAATTACAGAAACAGTGTCTTTTTTTTTATCTCAGCTGGACTAGCCAGGCGTTGCAAGTTTGGAGTCAGCTGATACATAACGTTGTTAGCCTGCTGGATTCTCGTTTCTTACAATGACTGTTAGCCCGTCTCTCTAGCGTAGTTGGCTAAACCGGATTACGCGGTGACCGGTTACGCACTCCTTGTGGTCCGGGTTCACTCCCGGGGGTGGGCAGAAAAGCCACATTTCTCCCAGATTTACGGTATTTAAAATGGAATCAAGGCCCAAAGGTTGCGATATCCATAATACCGAGCCTAAGGGTTAACAACTCATGGCTTCTGGATACTAAAACAAACAACAATGAATGTTAAAAAATATACTCAGTTTTGGTACCAATTTTCAAAGTAATTACACTGGGTGTTCTAAACTTTGGATAGCAGTGTGTATATGTCACCACAGTAACCAGAGCATGTATTAGTAAATTT